GCCAGAACTGACCCAGGTCTCCTAAGGGTGGTATCTGAAGTAGGCACAGCTACATCTGAAGATAATGGAGAGTCTAAGGGATTGTCCTTAAGATAAGAAGCTCCCCTCAAGGCCAAGGGGAAAATAGTTGCTTGGATCCTTGGAAAATGACCCTTGGATCCTACACGGGTGCTAAGATGATGGTGAGAGGCAGTGACCTGCTCAGCTCCCATCAGAGACCTTAGTCTGGGCCTCCTGGAGAAAGGAGAGGCATGGGTAGCAGAATCCCTCTCTGCTAATTTGTGCCATGAATTCTTGGGGAAAGAGGGAGAAATCTCATTGGAGATGGTTCTACCCAACAAAAGTGGGTGGAGAGGGTACAGAACTCAGGTGAGGCAAGGACGTCAAACTTTGCGTTTGCATAACAATTTGGCCACTTGCTGTGTTATATTGTGCAAGACATCTACGTCTCTTGAGGGAACCTATTCAAGTTCCTGAAAAGAGGAAGGGCAAGTGCAGTGCAGCCAGACATCTCCTCCTGGCTGTTGGGAAGAGCTTTCAGAAGGTAAATCGGGCTGTCTGTACGTGGAAGTGAGTTCCCTGTCCATGAAGCAATCAAGATGCCAGGTATTCCTTCCCTCAACCCTGACAAGACCTAAGTGAGGGGGCTCGCCAGCCCAACCACATCTGCTCTTTGCCGAGCAACAGTATATGAATTTCCCTTCCCCCCTATTCACTAGATCACTTATTTATTAATATATTCATTCAGTGAACATCAACATTTTGGTCTTTCAAAATCATATTTATTTTATTTCATTTTATTGTGATAAAACACTTAAGAGATCTACCTTCCTAACACGTTTTTATGTGTACAGTACGTTTTTGTTGATTATCAGTACAATGTTGTATAATGGATCTCTAGAACTTAATCGTATTGCCTAACTGAAACTTTACGCCCATTGGTTAGCAACTCCCTTTTCCCCTCCCCCCAGCCCATGGCAGCCACTATTCCACTCTTTGAGTTTATGAATTTGGCTATTTTAGCCAGCTCATCTAAGGGGAATCATGCAATATTTGTCCTTTGGTGACTGCCTTCTTTTGCTTAGCATAATGTCCTCCAGGTTCACCCACATTGCCTCATATGGCAGGATTTCTTTCTTTTTTAAGGCATTCTGCCTTAGAATAATATTCCACTGTATGCATAGACCACATTTTATTTATCTATTCATTTGTGGATGGACATTTAGGTGGTTTTCCATACCTCGGCCATTGCGATTCATGATGCAATGGACATGTAGGTGGGCAATGCAGAAAGATAGGTTTCAGCAATCGGAAACCTCCCCTTTCTCTCTCTTGGGGAACCTGAAGCCTAGAGGCAGCAGATGCTCCTAGAGCCCCTTGATGTGTGCCACAAGACAGTATGTGATGTGATGTCAAGGGAGGCATCAGCTCTTGTTCATACCAGTGGGACAAAGAGGGTAAAAAGCGTACTGTATTCAACCCCCTGACATCACTGGGGTGGGTGGCTGGGCAGAGCCCTTGGCAGCACCGGAAGGATTTGTGTGCAAGAGGAGGGAGTCGGAGGGAGACCACAATGGCTCTGCATGAGATTTAAGAGAGGCGCAGATTGGAAGAGACTGGGGATGTCACTGGAACCAGTGACACTGAAGAAACTGGAGAAAGGGGGATGATGAGTGGAGAGGAACTTGGGGTGATGGTGCGAGAGCTTGAGCCCCCATGGAGTGTGCGATGTAACTGTCTTGCTTGTCCTCCTGTAAAATGTTCAGTAAAATCTGCTTTGCTCAGTAATGCTTTATGGAATGGGATCTGCTTTTTTGGAAGGTGCACAAAAGAGGGTGACTGAAAACAGAGCCTCCCCGTAGAATTAGTTACCTGGGATCACACTAGTATTTTTAGTGATCAGCCTCGTAGCCCTGGGCAAGGCGTTTTTCCTCTTCTCTCAGGGTTTGGAGACCAGTGTGCCATATACTCTCAACAAACGACTGCTGAATGAGGAAATGCATGCAAGGTCTGTAAAAGGAGCAGGCATGTGCGCGCCTGCTCCCCTGTAGCCTCCCTCTACCTCCCCAGGAACATAGATGGTTTTAAGATCAACTGGGACTTTGGGCAAAGGTTCAGCTGGATTTGTTTGTTCCTCTCTGATCTGCTTTGACTGTCCCTGGTCAGGATCCCAGCCAGCTTGAAACAAACACAAAACTAAACAGGAAAACAGAAGAGTAAAATAACAGCAGCATGTTCTTCTAAAGCCCTGTCGAGTGCTGATAGGGCTGACAAGATAAGAGGAAATTGTATTTAGGCAATAAGAGGGCTTTGTTCATGTTGGAGACTTCTCTGACCATGAGTGCTTTAGATGCAGAGATAAACCCCCCACTCCAGCCCTCCAGAGATGTCCTCCACCACGCTCGGCTGGGGGACAGACAGCTAAGAACACAAGGGGCAAGAATTCCAAAATGATACATGTCGAATTGCTGGCCTGGATTTCAAATGCCATAGATAGTTTATGCAAAGTCTCGCACTGTTGTAAAATGTAACACAATCCACTGGCAGATCTGCCTAAGCTCGGTCCCAGTTGTTTTTGAGAAAAATAAATAAACTTAAAAACGTCTTCCAGCCCATTAAAGTTACTATGTTTTACCCATAGTCTCCTGGGTATTAGGCTTCTAGAGTTTTGAATAACTGAAGCCATCACCTAATTCCTGGCCAATGAGATAGTTGATTCTTGGCAACTCTACTCTCCTAAGAAGTTACCTGCGACATTCAGGAAACTCAGACTGTATTTCCAGGGCCCATTGATGCCTTGGGGGAGGGGCAGAGAAGCTATGGCGATGAACAAGTTTCAGTACTTTTCAATGTTTTTAAAACAGTGAAGCTCTTAAACGAAGCGTTACAAGACTGCTCGATATATAAAACAGATGATGCTCTGATGATGCTCTGGTTGAAACAGTGGAGCAGAAACTAAGCAGATTTTCCAACATTTTGACCCCTCAAGCTGACACCTCCAAGGAACCGTAGGAATCCATAGGTTACACCCTGACATCCTATAACCCAATGCAAGGGTCAAATGTGGAAGATAAACCGAGGTCCAAAGAGGCAAGATAACTATTCCACAATTGCAGATCACATTGTGAGGGAGCTTGGACCAGAACCAGGTATCCTTCATCCAAAGCCAGCTCGCCATTGCAGAACTCTTGAGTGACTATGTATGATTCCCCAAAGCTGGTTAAGTCACACTCTTCCTTTATTTGAGGTTTCAAGAATGAATTGATGAAGATGTTAACATTAGAAAAATTAGATGAAGGGCCTAGGGAACTCCCAGCATCATCTTTGCAACTTTTCTGTAAATAGTAATTACTCCCAAACAAAAAGTTTAAAAGCAAAAAAAGCACTGATGCTTGCAATTGTAGATGACAATGCAGCTGTGTATTTTATCTTGACTTTGATTAGTGAATTTGATGTATAACTTTTCCACTCCATTTTTAACTCTTTTACTCTCATCCATATGAATCCCTGGATATAGTCTTGCTTTGCATGATTTTTGTAAATGGCATCATAGTGTACTTATCCACTTACATCTTGTTCTTTTTAATTCACTCAGTGTTATTATGTTTTTGCAATCTCTCCATGCTGACATCTATGAACTCACAAGTAGGGCTTCCATTTTGTTTGGCCAGGACCCATACTGAACAAATGTTAAATATTGTTAGTATCATGCCTGTATATGAATCTCATTCGGTTCTCTTCATATTCTTTTGCTTATTGAATCCCATCATGTGAATGTCATATTTTATGCATCCCTTCCTCAAAAGGTAAACATGAAAACTCTTCCCAATCTTTTGCTACGATAGATATTGCTGGAATGGATATGTTTGATCCTTGAATACCTTGATCCTCTATAGGTCAGCCTTACTTTTTAGATGAGTAAACTGAGATCTGCAGTGTGGAATGACAGACCCAAATTCACAGGGAAATTTTGAGAAAGGAGCCACATTAGAGCTCAGAGGAAAATCACCAATTTGGGATGAGAAATCTCAAGAACTCAGCTTTTCCTATCTTTTTTCATCATAGTGCTTTTCTGTTCTACAGTTTATAGTTATGTATGCATAGGTGATTACTTAATGAACATTTGTATACATTGTCACTCTAAGCTCCTCAGCTTATATGTTACCCACCATCTTGTCTCAGAGCGCTTGGCAATTAGCAGTTACTCAATAAATATTATTTCAGTGAATGAGTAAACCAATAAATGAAATGACATTTGAATACACATGAAACCCCTAAGTTTGAAGAATGCTACTTGTCTATACATGCTTTGTGATTCTTTTAACACCACTTGGTATATCTATCAGATATACCAAGAATGAATGTGTGTATGTGTTTGTGTAAATATGTATACATGTTTATTATTATATATATATGGAGTGGTGGAGCTGGGTTTCTTTGGGGGGAAGCAAATGCTCATACTCCCTTAGACTTTGCTCTGTCATTAATATAGCACTGAGCACAATTTACAGATTTGTTCTAAAGTGTGCTGCTTGATATTCCAGAGTCTATGAGATCCAACCCCTCAGCCAGCCTTTTCTGCCACTTTCCCCAAACTCTAATAATACCAGGCAGCTTATCACAGCTTAACCATTCTGGCTTTCGGCTTTCTTCTGAGCCTCTTGCTTCTGTTCCCTCTGCCTGTAATGCCCTTCCCCTTATCTCTACCCTGTTCTTCCAGACCCAACTCAAATATCAGCTCCTCCAGGCTTTGTCCCCATGAGAATTACTCTGTCACCTCTCCTACCAAAGCATCTTATCTCTTCTCTCCTTAACAGAGAGTGAAGATTTCCTCCTCTGTATTAGAATGTGGGCTCCTGGAATAGACTCTTGCCTCTTCATCCCGGTGTCTTCCTGCAGTGCCAAGCACACAATATGTGGATAGTAATCGTTTATCAAATTGAATGTAATTCAACCTCTGAGACCCTCTACAACACGTGTTTTTCTTTATCTTTTCCCAGGTGTGTCGAACCAAGGTGATCGACCTCAGCGAAGGCATTTCCCAGCATGCCTGGTACCCTTGCACCATCAGCTACCCATACTCCCAGCTGTCTCAGACCACTTTCTGGCTCCGGGTAAGCCAAAGCTTTGAGAGCCTTGGAATCTCCAGCAGTGGCCCTCAGGAATGACCCTTTCCCGAGATGGTTCGTCTACCCATGGAAGGTGTCCATTGTAAGGACAGAGAACAAAACCCTTAGCAGTGGGATGCTTTCTGAAATGGAATCCCTTCATTGCTTGTGAAATACTCCCCCCCACCCCCACCCCCAGTCATTCTCGTTTTGGCAAAGAGTTCGGATACCGTTGTCTGCCTGGAACCTCCTATCCGTTGTTCAAGGCCTTTGAAAAGTGTCTTCTCTTCCTTGAAGCCTTTACTGATCCCCACAGAAAAAAAGTGACTATTCTCTCCCTTCTAATCCCGCACATGTTTGATTATGTGTTGGATGGCACTCGTCACATATTACATAGCTGTCTAGGAGCCCATCTTCCTGACTAAGGATTGTGGGTTGTACTGAATTTTGACTTGTATGTCACTGCCCTACTTTGATCTCCACAGTCTGCAGAAATGCAACGGCCATGCCTTGTTCAGCTTTGTTTCCTCGGTGTCTAATATTAAGTACCGTTTTTTGGTGTGTTTTTTGTATGTGCCAGACACTTGACTTCCATCATCTTCCTGAGCCTCACATTCACCCTGTGATGTAGCTCTTTTCTTAATCCACCACTTAGGTGAGGGAATGTAGGCCCAGAGCCACACAGCCACCCGAGCATCACATGGGAGCATCTCAGAAGGAGCAGAGCCAACCCTGGAGCAGGATTTCTGACCTCAGAGCCTGTGCTCTTCACTGTGAGGTGTCACTGCCTCCCTCTTTCCGTCATGGGCTCAAGATGAGTAGTGTGGTTCCTGAAACAGAAGATTCTCCTAGAAACCCCCGCCCTGAGGTTATGTCCCCACGATGTGACAGACGGCATGAGTGACCCTCTTATGTCATGTGCATTTCAGGCATTCTTTTCTCAGCCAATGGTTGCTGCAGCTGTCATTGTCCACCTGGTGACTGATGGGACCTATTATGGGGACCAAAAGCAGGAAACCATCAGCGTCCAGCTGCTCGATACCAAAGATCAGAGCCACGATCTAGGTGAGCATAACCCCTCGGGCCTGGCTTGCTCTTGGGACCTGTTCCCAATCCTGCCCATGGATGGCTGTGAGGACGAGCCCTTCCTTCTCCGTTCCCCCTTCTTGTTATCTATGTGGCATTCGGATTGTCTTCAAATCAAGATGTGCTTGTATATCTAGAGAAGCCTGAATCAGACAGGTACGGGGATGAGGGGTCACTGTGAAAGTCCTCCCGTCCATAGTTCCCTTCTTCCAGACACCTTTAACCTCAGGCATCCCACCGGATCCTGGAAAGACCCTGGGCCGCGCGCTGAGCACAGGTCGTTTCCCGCTGTGTGTATCAGCCCTTGAGAGCCAAAGAGAAGCCCTGAGAGCCCGGGTTACATGGCAATAACCAGCAAGAAGGCAGAGAAGCCAGGTTTTCAGAATAGTAGCCCCCTGCTCTTACCCTATAGCCAGAGGTGGCTGGGAATGCCCCCAAAGTGCCAACTGTGTGTCCAGCTCAAGCTCCAGACGTTTCCATGGGAGCAGGAATAAGAAAGGGTCAGATTCAGGAGTAGGCAGGCAGGTGAGGAAGCAGCTGCCTGAGCACAGGACACAGAGGGAGGATGAGGGCTGGAGGTGTCACATGTACCGCCGCACCTCTGCGTACCCATAGGAGCCATGGGACACGGGGCGGAGCCCAGCTCCAGTGCTGATCGCCAAGGTTTGAATCCCGTCCCCACATTCATTCACCTTGATAATGGGGGCAATTTCCTTGGCCACTCCGTGCCTCACTCAGAGGCTTGCATTCCTCTTATGCACATTGGTGACAACGATGCCACTTTACAGGCAGAGCGACATAATTAAATGAGATATCCCTCAGGTCTGTTGTGACCCATGCCTAGCACAAGACCTGGCACTCAGGACGTCATCCTATTATCTGCCCTCACATTTCCAGTATGCCCAGCACATACTGGGCAGTCATTCCAGGTGTTGGGAATTCCAGGCCAGCACCGAAATCCAGGCTTCAAGGCTGTGCCCGCACCATTCCACAGGGAGGTCGTTTCAGAGACCCCCCTGGGAGGCAAGCAGGCAAGGGTCAGCAGGGTCCGGCAGAAGCTAAGGGATCAGGGAGGGTTTTTTTGTTTACTTATTTAGTTAGTTTTAAAGGTGGGGGGGGGATGACATATTCATAAGGAAGAGAAAGAAAACCCCTCTGGACTTATCGGGATTCCTGAGAAATTTCCCTAAGTGGGAAGCAAATATTTTTATAGCTGTCCTGGCAGAGAATATCACAGCCAGGCTCTGAGCGGAGGGTTTTCAGCGGAATGCGGGAAAGTCTAGTTCCAAGGACACTCCTTAGGTCCCACTCCTGGATGCCTGAGACTTCCACATGGTCCTGTCCCTCCCCACCGGGTCCCTGTCCTCTGTCCTCAGCATCCTGACTTCTCTTGCAGAGGCTTCGCAGCTCGGAGTGAGTGGACCACAGAAGGGGGGCTGCTGCTGGCGTGGAAGCTTGGTGTCCCAACCTAGCAGGCCTCCTGGGACATGGCTAGGGTTATCTCATGTTTTAGATGCAGAAACCGAGTTTCAGGGGTTTGCTGGAGTCACATAATAAGGAAGTGGCTAAAGCAAGAATTGAACCGAGTTCCACCAACACCAAAGCCAGCTTCCATTTTACCCGCTCCAAGCCATCCATCACTCCCATCCCTGTCCTTCTGGGTGGGCCTTTTCTCCCGGCCCCTCTCCCTTCAGTCTTGAAGCCTGGGGACCTGCTCCCTGTTCTAGAAAGAACCAAGGGCTTTTGAGTGAGACAAACTTGGATCCTACTTAGACTTTATATTGCTGGCTGTTCTGTGTCCCTCTGGAAAGCCAGTTCTCACTCCTGACTCTGTCTCCTCTCTGCAGAATGGTTACAGGGCTGCTCCCAGATTCCTAGATGGAAAATGAGAGTATGTTTGCTCCCCAGGAATGGCCTGTTGCTGTGAATTATTTCTGGGAAGGCAGCCTGAAAACTAGCAATTCAGACCCTCAAGCTCCAGTGAAATGTGGGAGGGAGGTGAGGGCCGGTGATGCTTGGCTGACGGGTAGCCCTCTGGGGGAGGAGAGGGGCTGTGGGCGCTAGGTGAAGGGAAAGCTTAGGGGGCAGGGAGGCAAGGGGGTTGGGAAGATTTGGAGCCAAGAAGAAAGGCAGACAAAGAAACTTTCAATCAAACTCAAAATCCCCACCGGCCACCCAATGGTGCTTTTGTGCAGTGACATGAAAGGGTCTGGGGGCTTCAGGAAGGGCCCGTTGGGGAGGGCGTGACTGGCCTTGACTAATGAGCCTGGCCCTGTCTCCCCTGACAGGCCTCCATGTCCTCAGCTGCAGGAACAATCCCCTGGTTATCCCTGTGGTCCATGACCTCAGCCAGCCCTTCTACCACAGCCAGGCGGTCCGCGTGAGCTTCAGTTCGCCCCTGGTCGCCATCTCGGGGGTGGCCCTCCGCTCCTTCGACAGCTTTGACCCCGTCACCCTGAGCAGCTGCCAGAGAGGGGAGACCTACAGCTCTGCTGAGCAGAGGTAAGGCACCCTGGGTTTTGTAGCCAGTGGAGACGAAGGACTCCTGGAACGGGGTAGCCATGTGTGTGGCTGCAGAATGTCTGTGTGTGTCTCCCTTCTCCAGCTTGTGGACCCTGGTGGGTTCTGCCTTTGGGCCTGGGAGGTCCACCTGTCTCTGAATTTCAGGGGTGAGGGAGGGAAGCAGGGATGTATGGCTCGCAGTCCCAGAGCTTGCAGGGGCTTGCAGGGGGCCCCGGGATCATCAATTTCCCTCTCTGGTCCTGAACATCCTCATTTGAACCAAGACAGGATAGGTGGATTCGCTCTCTGCCAGCTCTTAGATACTAGAATATTCTGCCTCCCAAGTAGCACAGACAGAAGGCATCTGAAAGTGAGGGGATGGGTGGGGACTTGCTATTTGTTCCATCCCAGTTCACTGTGTGTTTCAGTGATGGGTGAAATCTCCACGTCGTCCCCATGCCTAGCCCCTGAGATCCCCCCAGTGGTCCAGGAACCTGTCTGTCAGCTGCATAATGTCACTACTTCAGTGCTTTTGACCTGGCCCCTGTTCATGGACCCGGTTTGGGGCTAAGAAAGGAAGGTGTTTCCTGGAAAGTATAGGAGCTTTGGTGATATCCTTACTGGATCTGACTCTGCCCCTTCAGGACTATGTATCCATGAATAAGTCGCTTCGCTTTTCTGAGTCTCAGTTTTCTATTTTGGAAAAAAAACTGATGATAACAGCTACCCCATAGTGTGGCCGTGACAGTGAAATGGCGCACTCGCAAACTGTTAGACGGCATGCAAAGACAACGTATTAATAACCATGCATTCATAAAGAACATTTATCTCCATATGATGGTGGTGCCTTTCAGCACAGAATGCCACGTAAAGCTCCCAGAGTTAATCTGGAAGAAACCTCAGAGATCATATAGCACACACCCACAGGATCCAAACTCCTGTGTCACCCTCTAGAATTCCAGACCCCTTCCCCCCAAGGGGAGAGACTGGTCCAGAGTCACACAGCATCTCTCTCACATGTGTTTAATGAGATCCAGAAGAAAAAAGAAAGAGTTGGGGTCTTGGTGGGCTCCCCCAGAGTGAAGCCCTCTGAAAGGCCATTCAGCCCTGCCCTGTACACCTGGGAGCAAGGAGAGGAGAAATGTGGGGAGAGGGGACCTCAGCCTTTCCCACGCCCCTGACCACAGAGGATCAAAAGGTGGTTGCAAAACCCACATTGCTTTCACCCGCAGTCTCTAGCTTCGGTTGTGCAAAGTCTGTTGCAATCACTCAGAGGCCAAAGAGCTCCTTAAATATCACTCATTGTTATACTTCACCCTAAGAGGGCTTTTTCATCCCTGCTTCTCCAGACTATAAAAATAACTTAATTCTCAGAACCCAGAGAAACAACGTGGATAGACAATGCAAAGCCATCGGCCTTTCCACAATGCTTCCGCCCTCACCCAGCCACCGGCCCCATCTCCAAGTTCACTGAGGCCGGCACTGACTTCTTTGAATTCTTAATCAACAGTTCCTGTGCCCAGAAGTGCAGAGTAGGAAATGTTTAACCTCAGAAATAAATCAGCCCATAAGCATTTGTTGGGTTCTTTGACTTCTGGTGGAAGAATACGGAACTGGGGCAAAGCGGTGTCCCGTCCCTGGCTGGTGGTGTGACGGGGAGCCAGTCACTCCTTTTTGCTGGGCCTCAGCCTCCCCATCTATGAAATGATGATGGAGTGGATGTTTTCTGTGGTTCTTTCCAGTTCAAACAGTCTATGAGTCCCAAAGAGCGGGGGGGGGGCAGGAGGGATGAGGATGGGGCCAACGTTTGTTATTTTATTATCTTATTTCATTATCACGTCTGTCCTGGGCGGTATGGACAGACTGAGTGAGGCCAGTCCATTCAGGCAGTCAGAGGCAGAACCTTGCTTTGTGGGACCCTAAAGAGCCACGCTCTGCCCACCGGAGCCAGGCACCTCAAGGGGAGTAGAGACCTTTTCACGGCTTCTGCCATCTGAGCGTGTAGTCAGGGAACCTGAGTAAAGTGCTGGAAAGGCAGCCCTGCAGCCCCCAGGGCCTTGGCTGGCTTGGCCCTGAGCTTAGCTCCCACTGGGGCAGGCTGAGCCCCCAGGGCTGAGGCTGCCCCAGATGCAAGACCCCCTCCTGAATCCCTCAGGGGGAAAGGACAGCATCTGCTCCTGGGGAGCTGAAGAGGCATTTACCCAAATAGGCAGGATGGTGCAAATGTGCAAATGCACGAAAACAAACAAACCAGGAGGAAAGAAAAGAAAAATAAGCAACAACTGTAAAAAGCCGTGGGATGTTTTTCTTCATTCTCAAAAACACCGAGGTACATGGCATCACTTTTGATAGCCCAGAGTTCAGCTGGCTGTAGCAGAAACACCCCACTGGACTCTTCGCTGTTTCCCAGGTAGTGAGAGGTGCTGCACCTCCCCTCCCCTCTGCTCCCACCCACACCCCATCTAGTCTCTTTCTTGCTTTCTCCCCTTGCTCCCCCTCCTGCCCCTCTCCTCCCCCTCTCCCTCTCCTCTCACCCCTGTTTTCCCCCCTCATTTTCTTTCTCTTCCCCTGAGCTTTACATCTAGTGGGTTGCCACGGGAAAAGCATCACTACAGCAAAATCAATTCAGGTGGTGTGTTCTGACCTAGATTCAAGGGTCTCCAGTCCCCGTGCAGTACTTGGAATTAATTCAGAGGTCCAAGAAAACAGGATCAGGTTTCAAATGAGAGGTCCAGTTGTGGAATTCTAGCCAAACCCCAACTCCACACCGAGTTAAGGGAACGGGGAAAGATGCGTGTGTGTGTGCGCGCGCGCATGCGTGTGCGTGTGCGTGTGCGTGCATGCATGCGTGTGTGTGTGTGTGTGTGTGTGTGTGTGTAGTGATGGTGGTGGGGGAATTAAGAGGCTTCTTCAATGAGAAAAGGAACAATCATGAGTGGAGGCTCCAGGGTGTCTCTTACACAAACACACACACACACACACCGCCTCTATCGATCCTTAGGATTCTAAGCAGAGATTGAGCAATTTATTAAAAAATTCAGTGGATCACGTGTTTAGACAACTAACTTTCTTCCCTCCCTCTCTTTCCCCTTCCTCTCTTCCTCTCTTCCTCTCTTCCTCCCTTCCTCCCTTTCCCCTTCCTTCCTTCCTCCCTTCCTCCCTTTCTCCCTTCCCTCCTTCCTTCCTCCCGCCCCTTTTATTTGTATTCTTTCCTCCTCTATGTCAAACTCTGCCCACTTGCTCCATGCCAGCCCGCCTAGAGAGGCAGTTCTGATAGGGAGCTAACTTTTAGAAGGCTCATGTTACAAGGAGATCAAATTTTCATGTGGCCAGATTAACTCCTTCTCTAGGCAGGGTGGACTTTGTGGTTGGAGCAGAGTGAAGATTGAGGGGTCCCTACAGGCTGAAGCCATGATTCCCTAGAATCTGTGCACTGATAGGAGCCCACGTGTGGAAGATCTTCTCAGGTGAATATACAGGAGTTCATATACAAGCATTGGAGGCCAGAACGCAACTGCTCACAGCCAGAGACTGCTGGCCTCAGATCGCTGTCCACAGGCTCACCGAACTTCTCCAACCCTCAAGGGGACCAGCACCTCTCAGAACATCTGTTGGGGGGCCGCTGGTCTGGGGGCTATACCTGCAAACAAAACAGCTGTGCCTCAGCATATGTATTTCTTCAGCTGGACTGGATACTGCCTGACCCTTCTCCAAAACGTTATCTAGCTCACGCCCTCATCAGCATCTGTCAGAGTTCCTGCATTTCCATCTCCTTGGCTATACTTGGGAGTATCAAAGTCTGTTTTTCCCCATTCCAAAGGGCTCTGACATGATATCCTTCTGCTGTTTTATCCTCACAAAGCTATGATCCCTGAGAGCTGGGGGCTCTAAGAGATGCTCTGGTTCTGCTCTCTCCTTGGGGGTGGGACACGTAAGGTCCAGGCAAGGGACGTGCATTACCCAAAATCACCCAGCCCTTAGGGGCAATGCTGCCATGTACATCTGGTTCTCAGGACCCCCAGGCTGAGCCCTTTCCTCCTCATCAGAGGTTTCAACTCTGCTGTCCCGCAGGTAGACCGGGCCACAAACCACTTGTGTTTGTGTGGCCCTCACTAATTATCTTCTTTAATTAGTTGCTAATGATTAAATACCAGGAGAGTCCTATTACAACTGAAATTCTTCCTCCTTTTAAATACATCAGAAGATTTGGAAACGCAAGACCCTCGGTCCCACGAGGCAACCTGGGGCTGGAGTGGAGAAGCGCCGTTGCTTGGGACAGACACGCGTCCTCCTACTGCACGCTCCCAGCTCACCTCGGCCTTCCCAATGTTTACCTGGACCCTGCAGGTCGCTGACCCTGCATCCCTCCTCTACACCACCTCTCCCCTGTACCGCCACATCACTGGCTTCTAGAATTCTCGGGCAGATGAACCTTTTAGGTTCTCGAGCCCTAGTCGCTCCACTTCCCGGCAGAACAACGAGTCCTGTCCTGGTAACTCCTGATGGGTCTCACTTCCCAAGTGACCCTGCAGCTTCTGTGCCAAGAACACGTCCCCCTTCACTTCCCAGGGTTGAATATGCTGTGTTTTTGGCTGTCATCTGGGTAACCCAGAATGGTTTATAAACAACCTGCCTGTTATTATCTCCACTTCCCCATGGCATAATTGCAGCTGAGGAGCAGGGCCCCCGAGTCAAGGGGCAGAGCCAGGAGAGGAGCCCTCATGCACCCTATAACTCCTGGCCGTCTCTGTCCTGGTTTCAGTTCCACCCAAGCATCCTCTGTTAGGCGCAATTAGGGCCATTCAATAGGTAGTGGGAGCGGCAGGAGTGGGGCTTGGCTGTCAGATCACTAAGTTTTACCTCCAGGTGGAACTTGAGGTAAGTAAATGAACTAAAACGCAGATAAGAAAAAAAAGGAAATTCATAAGTATCTGATTATCTCTGCCTCTGGGGTCGGGGTGTCTGCACCTTTCCCCAGAAGTGAGAATGTCATCAATCCATGACCTGCGCCCCTTCCCCCATCCCTCTGATCACCCACACTCCTTCTGAAAAGTATCTTTTTCCTTTTATTATTTTTATTGACCATCCATCACTAGTATTAAATCCTCTCCCCCACCCTCGGCCTTTTTTTTTTTTTTGAAGCCAGAGGCTTTTCTTTTTGTTTTCCTTGTTTTAATTTTTGTTTTTGTGTTTCAGAAATGACAGGGCTGTGTCAGGGAGTTATTTGGGAGGGGCAGTTGGGTAATGTTTATCATTTTGGGGCAATGTGTTCACATAACCCTTTCCAATTATCTGGGAAGCCAAGGGAAAAGCAGGGACTTAGAGGACAGATGGGCAGACCCACACTTGAGTTCTGTCTACACAGAGTGCCTTTGGGTAAGCAAGTTCACTCTTATTCTCAGTCTCCTCTTGAAAATGGGGTTAATAATACTACCTCAAGAGTTACCACGAGGATGCAAATAAGATGATGCAGCCAAAACACAGCACCAATACCTTGCACATATCACCTCCCTTGCCCTTTTCTTCTGTTTTCAAGCCTGTGAGCCAAGTGCAGAGGGAGGTGCCGAAAAAGCAGGCATGCCTCACTCTCCAAAGTGTGTTCTGGAAGACACTAGTCCTAAGAAATGTCCAAGCAAAACAGGTCCTCAGAGTTTGGAGTACAATGTGCAGCTTAGCCTCTGCTGGAAATCTGCAGTGCGCCTTTTAGAACCTTCAAGGTTCTGAGAAGTCCTGCAATGAAGAAAGCTGACTGGTCTCATGAACCCAATGCTACCTTACTCAGGCAAAGTCTATTGAATGGATGAATGAGTGGCTGACACGTCACCTTTTTGATCATCTTGAGAGAGAAATCGTTTTATTACCTCCACTTTACAGATGAGGAAACTGAGGTTCAGAGTGTCATACAGCTTTGCAAGGTCAAACAGCTGACCCGTGGCAGAGGTAGGGCTGCCGTTGCTGAGCTCTGTTGCCCTTTCTGTTCTAGGAAATTCAGTTTTCCAGTTTATCCTGTTCCTGCGAAGAAGAACATTGCAGTGCACAGAATTGGAGAGGGGGTTGTTTTTTACTTTGATGGCTCCACAGCCCAGAGAAGCCCAGAGCCCTTTGCTTTCGAAAGGGCTCCCCGAGTCCCTGGGTGGTCATCATACTTGAGCCCAGGGGCGCAGAGCAGGAACAGCTAATGTGTAAGGCATAGGACAGCTGGTAGCTTCCAGAGTAAATCTCCCTCGATTGGAACCATGTGGCCCTTTCCCCTCAGCGCTTACACAACGTGAACAGATGCGTTGTCTGGTGTCAAAGCCCTGGGTTGACTTCACAGTCACAGTGTCCTCGAGGGCTCCGTTGAGGGCATTGCCAAGGCTCTCAAGGGGCAGGAAGGAGGGAAGCAACTCCCAGCATCTCAGCAAGTGTCACTTGGTCCTGCCAGGGAGTAGGAAGCCCACATCAGCGCGGGGGGCTGAGATCTAAGTCAAACGCGCGTCCTTTTCCCCCAGCATTTTCAAAAGTGAATGTGGCTGAACAACAACAGCAACAACAAAAGTGCATTTTCTTGTGATATGCTGGGGAGATTTCTGGCTCCTCCCCTCCCCTCCCCCTACTTGAGTTCTCACCAGACTTCTGAGCAGAGGAGGGAGCATGGGGGTGAGGAACCATGTGCCTGTGAAACCCTCAGTGGTGTATCCTGGAACTGGCACCAAGGAAATCATTGGGGATTTCTTCGTAAGCCGGTTTGACCACCAGTGACTCCCTGTTCCCTAAATAAAAACAGGACAATGAAAGCCTTGAGGCTCTGGACACAAATCCAGCTGTCTGTGCATACGATATGCCTGCCAGGTCTTGGGTGGGCAGAGTCAGACAGGCAAAAGGAGAGAAAACTGCCTCCTAGAAGCTTTCCATGTCAGGAATCCACATCTGAACCTCTACTAAATGCGTAGGAGCTGTTGCAGGACACCGCAGCCCCGTGTGTCTTCCTGGTTAGGAAAGATCTGTATGCAAGGCGTTTTTATTGCCAGGGCGAAGTGTACCAAGATGAAGAGGGCATTATCTCTACCCTCAGGGAAGCTCTAGTTCAGGTGTGGGGAGAGGTTCGCCACAGGACTTTGGAGCCACACATCTGGGTGGGAACTTAGAGTAACTTAATCTCACTGGTCCCGATTTTTCCAACTGTAAAATGAATAACACTTAGCTCATAGGGTTGTTGTGAGGATGGAGTGAGCTCATGGATAGAAGCAATCAATGAATAGTCATTAATGTTCCGGAGTGTTGGTGTAACTCGAACATAAGGGGGACGATCGCCGAGCACAAGGATGTCACATCATTTCCTTTTGCATCCTTGAGGATTAGCACACATTCTGGCCCTGGTGGGCACCCAGGACCCATGCTGTCAGTGTATGGAGCAGGACCCAACAGCGTTAAGAGCAAACAGGGCAGACTGCCTGCAGGGGAGCTTCCTGGGGGCCCAGGGACAGCGTCCTGTAGAAATGTACGTGTCCCGGAGACTTGAAAAATAGGTAGAATTCAAATGGGCCAGAAGGTTCGTGCAGCAGCTGCAGTGAGACGCGAGGCATGATCCCTGTACAGCTTTCCTCACAATTCATAAATCACGTTACAGTTTATTAAAGATGTCTACATTCAACACCTCAGTTGAGTCTGCGGGTTGGCCGGATTTGAGAATCCGCTGATGCTCAGAGAGGCGATGCACCTTGCTCAAAGTACCTTACGCAACTTCTAGGTAGTAGAGCAGAGATCAATTTGCGCCGTTAGCTGCCATTTCTTGAGGGATTTTATGGGCCAGGAATTCTGCTCTGTGCCTTTTCTGATCCCCGTCTGATCGAATTTTCATGACGACCCTCAGAAGTGAGTACTATTCTACAGTATAAAGAGGCTTTCATTCAAGTTGGTGCCAGGAAGATAAGAAAGACCATGAATACTTACTGTGATCATAATGCTCCCCACTTCACAGATGGAAAAACTGAGCCTCTGCAAGGTTTGACCATAATGACATAGAAAGCTTCCAGGTGGCAGGATTTGAACCTTGGGTCATAACTTGTCATAACTTGGCTCTTACTGATAAAGTTGGACCACTGTTTCCAGAATCTTCCTCACCCAAGCCAGCTCCTCTTCCTTCTCTCCTCAGCCTCTTCCTCTCCTCAGCCTCGGCCTCCTGAAGTCTTGGAGAAGATGGCCATTAGCCTTTATCTGTCAGCTGGATTGCAGTGGTCCTGCAAGAAAACTCCCTCTTACCCTCTTGCTTTTTTCTTTTCTTTAAAAATGATTTTTATTAAAATATAACTAACATACAATATTATATGAGTTTCAGGTGTACCCCATAGTTATTGGACATTTATAGACCTAAAGAAGTGATCACCATCATAAGCGCCACAGCCATCTGACACTGTACTATATGCTGTCACAAGATTATTGACTAGATTCCCCGTGCTGTATGGTACATCCCCATGACTTATTTGGTTTATACCCAGAGATTTGAACCTCTTGTTTCTTCCCTCTCCAGCTGTGTGCACTTTGCATGTGAGGCCACTGACTGCCCAGAGCTGGCTGTGGAGAACGCTTCTCTCAACTGTTCTAGCAGTGACCGCTTCCACGGTGCCCAGTGTACCGTGAGCTGCCGGACGGGCTACGTGCTCCAGATACAGCGGGACGATGAGCTGATAAAGAGCCAGGTATGTGCAGGTGCTGCACTGAGAGCCCCTCTCCTGCCTGAGAGGCTGACCGGGTTTCGAACATATTCTCTGATGAATCTCAAGCTCTTAAAACTGTGCTGTCACATAGTTGATATGCAATCAATATGTGTCGACTGAATGAATCAGTCATCGATCTGGAGTTTCTATGATAATAGTTCCTGTGCACAGGAGTGTTTCACACGATGTGTATCAGAGTCTTTGTGTGGGTTGCAGATCTGGAAGACCACAGGCTGAGCATTTTGAATGAAACCTTTATAGTCAGAACTCCTCTACCATTGAATGGGCTACTTTACTTTAGGAAGAGGTGAGCCCTCTGTCATGAGGTGTTCATTCATTCATTCATTCATTCATTCATCACAAAACATCTGTTCACTGGGAACCAGAGGCTATACTAGATGCTAGAGGGGAAAAAACAAAAACACAAAAAAGTAACTAAGATAGACCTGCTCCTTCTCTCAAGGAAGCTTGGTGACTTGTGATGGGGACCAGCCAATGAATGAGTAATGACCTCACAGAGTGATAAACACTAGAAAGGGAAGTGTAGGGTGTTGTGGAAACATAGGAAGATTCATGGAAGGTGCCCTGGAAGAAATGACATGAAAGCTGAGAATTAGATAGGTTGGCCAAGGGGTATGTGTTAGGGAGAAGGAAGAAAGATGGGCTCTAGCTCAAGCAGGAAGAGTACATGGAAGCCCATTGGTGAGAAAGAGCATACTGCACACTGAGATCTGTCTTTTTCTGAGCTCCCTTAAGCAGTGGGGCTGGAGGAGCAAGTATGTCCACTGGTACAAGGCCCTATTAGCTGGGTCAGGAAGTTTGAGGTTTATCGTTAGGGCAACAGGGAGCTGTGGAAGGCAGTGACATGGTCTAATCATGGTTGACAAAGGTCCTTCTGGCTGCCCACTTGGGTGTGGCTTGGAGTCTGGCAGTAAGACTGGCCCCAGGGAGAGCCCACAGGAGGTCATCAGAAGAGACCAAGAAGAGGGATGTGTCCTGCATGAGGGGAGTGGCAGTGAGTGGATTTGAGACGTGACAGAATGTTGCTTCCGCCAGATGTTGCTGTGGGGTCCCAGGTGGGTGTGGGGGCGTGGGGCATGGTGATTGAGGATGCCAAGCTGTCACCAGATGCTGCCTTTTCCAGGGCCCTGCCAGCAGACTCTACCTTCATTCTGTAAACACACAGGGCAGGTTCCTTGTTGCTGGGAATATCTATTTGTTCAGACCTTCTGGAAGCTCTAGATCGCTTGTCTTAGACACCAATTTCCGTGTGTCAGACATGGCAGGTCTGAACTCCTGTGGAAACAATTAGGCTATTTTGGCAGCGAGGGACCTCTACTCCCTTTGATGTGCGCTTAAAAGGGGAAAAAAATGTCCTTTGCTTTTAAAATCCCAGATCAACATTTAGCATCCCTAATCCCCTGGGATTTGGCAGCTTCCTCTTTGAATAGAAGCCCCCAGGGCTGCTGCTGACAGCCCTTCCCTAGGTACTGTAGCATGACCTCGCCCTTCCACCCTGAGGCCCTGTTATCTTTTAGTTTGGTTCACAGCACTGCTGACCCTATGACTTTCCCCAGCCTGTTCCTTCTTCACATCTACCGCTCTCAAGTCTGGAACCGTCACATTTCAGAGTAGGGAGTAGCTCCTAGAACAATCCTTGGATTCAGTGCCAATGAGAGAACTCAAATAAAGAACGGGACTTACCCATGGTCTCATAGCACAGAGGACAAACATCAGGTCTCCAAGATCCCAGCATGATGTCTACTCTCTGCCAGACACTACATGCGTTTTCTGTAACCTTCTCCAGAGCCAAGAAAAGACACAAAAATTGACAGCCCGTGCCCCACCATACCTACCGTTGATCATGTTTCAGAGGCTATTTCATCAAAGAAGTCATCATGCCCAGAGGTCTCTGAGTCCTGAGATTCTCACCAATACAATGCAAATAATGACCCAGAGACTCTACACATAGTTAAGAGCATCACCTTTGGGTTCAATCCCCATTGATCTTCTCTCCAGCTGTGGAACTTGGAGATAATCCCTTAGAGTCTCTGAGCCTCAGTTTCTGCATCCTAAGATGGGAACTGAAATGCCTAACTCGTACAGTTGTTGGGTCATTAAAAGTGAGCTAGAGTTAAACACTCAACATTGGTCTCCAGGTGCCCAGACAAGACGCTGAGATATAGCCTCAGGGAGAAGGGTGTTGCCCCCATCCTTGGGATGCAGGCTGCCACCATTCACTGTGCACACCTCTACCTTCCAGACCGGACCCAGAGTCACAGTGACCTGTACCGAGGGCAAGTGGAACAAGCAGGTGGTGTGTGAGCCTGTGGACTGTGGCACCCCAGACCAGCATCACGTCTATGCTGCCTCCTTCTCCTGCCTCGAGGGCACCACCTTCGGCAGCAAATGCTCCTTTCAGTGTCGTCACCCAGCGCAGTTGAAAGGTACCGAGGGCCCTTTGGCTTGGCTCGCCACCCCACTTCCTCTGGGAAATCCAGAGGCTGCTTCTAGGTTCTTCTTCTGGGCCTCAAACACCAAGGGTTGGATGGATTTTATCTGTGCACCTGATTCCTTTCCACCAATTGTATTGTACTTATGAAAACTTCCTTGCTGGGCAGCTAAAGAAAAAGTAGAGTGTGGATAAATATGGCAATGAAATCCCCTCCAAGACCTTGCAAATTTTGCAAAAAGGAAAGAAAAGAGAGAGAGAAAGGGAGAAAGGGAGGGAGGATGGAGGGAGGGAGAGAAGAAAATTAAAAAAGAATAACACTTGGAACATGTGACCAATTCACTGGATTAGGGCTTAGTAAGCCTAAAACGTATTATTATTATTCCCATTATCACGGAGGAGGAAATTGTCCCAGGCCACCTTGTTAGTAGTGGGATTCATATTGGAGTCCAGGTCTTGCCTTCCTCCAAAGCCAAAGGCTACTCTTAAAGAAAGGCTAGCTGGGGAAAGAGAAGAGGGTATGGTTAGGAAGCATTTACTAGCATCTCCCGGGCGAGGCACCAGGAGTATTTGAACGTGAGGAAGACATCCTCTGTGATACTAAAGAAGAGGCCACATTTTGGAAATGAGTGAGAGGCTGGCCTGGGTGTCCAGAATGTCAGGACTAGAAGGGCTCTTCAAGCTCATCAGGAATAACTGATTATTGGAAAGATGGTAAAACTGAGGTCCAGTAAGAGGAAGGAAGGGATTTGTAGCAAGTGAATGGCATCATCTGGATAAAAGCTCTTAGGTTCTGACCCATGATTGGATTTGGCAATATAGCCAATTTTCAGAGGTGCCATGACCCTCTCCTTTGCTTGGTATATTAGAGGAACAATCACCCCTTTGATACCAAAAATGATCACAATGAAACCTCACTCAAGCACAGTTGCCATTTGGGGAGTATGCAAGAGTGGACTTCTTTGGGGTGTGGGGGGTTTAGAGGGAGGTCTGTAAATTGACTTAAACTTAGACGTAGTATTATGTATTCATGAGTCTCAGGCATTCTGATGATCAGAGAGGGTCAACAGTTTCCCCAGATTTTCAAGGGGATACATAACTTCAAAAGATGGGTGGACTTGAATCCCTAGCAGGCTGTGGCTGTGTCTAATTCCTTTTAGCATTCCTGTCAGCAAACCCAGACCTACACACAGCGAGACTCGATAAAATGTATTGGCTAAGATGGCTGGATGAATTGATGACAGTTAACACTGCAAGAAATGTTTCTTTTATGAAATGAGTGAAAGGCAGCCATCTCACTAAACTGCCTCAAAAGAAAAGCAGGGAGCACTTTGGGAATGCATCCTGTAGGTCCCCTCATTTTTAACCCAAGACAATCTGAAGTAAAAAAAAAAAAACCAACCAAACAAAAAAACCTATAGACAGTTCATTTGAGCTACTGTGAAGATTTGACACGAGCAAGGTGAAAAGACCAGTGTAGAAATTGTAAATCCTCCATCTTTCAGGTTACCTGAGCCCTTCACTTGACCCCGTTTGCCCAAATGTGGGGCGTATTAGCAACTCCAGACCAGGAAATTACACTTTTCTCAATCAGAGGCTGTTGGGAAAAGCAGGTGTGTGTAAATTCGCATTGGTTATTACAACCCTCACTGTGGCTAATAATACGTCTTAATCAAAGTGATTCAGACCCTTCTGCCATTGCTCCTCTGCTGACTTTGGTGGAGGGGTATGACCCTGGCGTGGAGACCATCATTTGGATAGTTGTTGACCCCAACTTGGCTCTTCCCTCAAGAATACCGGGAAGTATCTCCCAGCCCCCACACTGACCCACTAGGACCCGCTGGTTCTCAGCATCATCTGGTGCTCAATACCAGATGAGCTCAATACCCAATACTGTTGCACTCCTTCTGACTTCTTAGGCTTTTACTGAAGACACGGCGTGGGCTGTGGGCAGGGAGCCTGGCCACGTCCTCCAGTACCCGGCAATGCCTTCTTGCCCGCCCTCAGCTCTTTTCGTCACCCCTCACCCTCTCCCTTCAGGACCCTGCCCCAACCTCCCTCCTTCTAGGAACTCCAAATTCTCTTTCCTCTCACAGGCAGAGACCCTTGCATCTTCCTCAGAAGCACATAGCCAGGCCCTGGAGGGTTTCTCTTTATCCCACGGGTGTCTTTAGTCATCTTCCCACAAACAGGGTCACCCCCTAAAAGGAATTTTCACACAACTCCTGAAAGAATGTCATCCTAGTTTTGGAGCTAGCAGAGTCTAGGATGTCATTGGGTCCAAGCCACTACTGTGCACTTTGTCCTTCTGCCTCTTCACCCCCTGTAACTTCTGACCGTTTCTTACCAAGAGCAATGAAGCCGAATCTCTTCCCAATTCCGCCAGTACTAGCCTTTGGCTAATGCAGCACCCTGAGCGCCCGTTCCAGTCCAGCTAGCTGAATTTCTGTTTTCTCAAAACAATACAGTAGTCAATATGTAGCTTTTCACATCCTAAAATATTGGGGCTGGACAAGAACTCAAAGGCAGCTTCAGTTTAGAGCCAGAAAGGTTAGTTGACTTGTTCAAGGTCACAGGCAGATTAATAATACCTCATGAGCTTAACAAATGGATATTGGGGGCCTACTATGTGCTTGGCACTAGGCTGCGTTCTACGACTAAAAGAACGAACAGGATGCCGTCTCTAGCTTTAGGAGGCAGGGCAACGTCAACACTACTGACCAGGTACTGAGAAAACGCGACCATAGGTTTCCTGGAATTTCCCTCCTTGTATTCTGCACTCAGTTAATTTCAATCTTAAAGGCACTCCCAAAAAAGAATTGGTCTCCTGGTTAATCTTTTCAACTAAGTAATACAAATAGGCACACCTCTTCTGACCGTGTTACAAATATTTTAATACTCCTTAGAGATGAAAATTTCTTCAGGCACCTTTGTAGACAAGCTGAGCAAGATTTAGTCTCCTGAATTCAAAAGATGAATAAATGAAGGTCAAGTTCACATAAACTTTGGGAGCCCAGTCTCTGACACCAGCACACTTCCCCTGAACAAGGAACTCCAGGCTCAGAAATGCCTTCACCCGTATCCTGGCTTATGTTTCTCTAGGAGACACCTGTAAGGGAGTGAGAAAAGGAGGTGTGGAAGTGACGGAAGCATCAGAGGTCTCTTCTGAAGCCAGTGGCCTCTGCGGGCAACCGGAGCTTACTCCCTCCAAGGAATAGTTACTGCACCTCTGGAAACTGGCATGCTAACCTACCAGCGCCATCACTGGCTGAGTGCTCCTTCCAGGGTCATGGACACCTCAGGGCTGTGAGCTTGTCCTGTGTGTGGGCAGAGCACGCACCCATGACCAGAACAAAGGGCCTCTGGCATAGGGTTGCAGGGGCAGGAGGCCTCCTTAAGAGTAGAGTGGTCAGGGGCCGGCCGAGTGGC